CCAGAGACGTCCATGTCTGGACTTAATGGTCAGGGGTCCCTTTACCTTTACCTAATAAATATGACATGATGATCACCTCCTCCCACATAGGCATGCCCAAACCTTAAGATCATTTTCAGATGCCCTGATATTAGCATTGCACCAAGTGAAGTGGGCCAGGTCGCCACCTAGGAGAGGGCCTTTTCAGGAGTGGCCCTGCAGCTGTGGAATAGCCCCCCTAGAGAGGCTTGTCTAGCCCTTTCTCTATGGTCTTTTCATCATCAGTTGAATAAGACTTTGTTATTCACCCAGATTTCTTAATTGTGGCTCAAACTAACTTCGGGTTGTTGTGACCTAGGGCAGTTTAATTTGGGTTGTAAAAGTGCATATGCGCTCTCCATTTGCAAGAAAAGTTACTTGATTTTTTTAAAAAATGCTTAGTATTATTTCCAGTTATTAACACCTTGTATTTTTAGCATCGTCACAAACAAGACAATGTACAAAATATTAATAACTGAAGCTGTCACTATTATTTTTTTTTTAAAGCCACTCGGTGTATAATTATTGATGAGCGTTTATATACATTTAATTAATTATAATGATGGGGTTTTCTGACTTGTTCTCCTCCAGCAGAACATGCAATTTGTCATGCTGGTGCAAGCCTCCTAAATATAGGCTGAGCCTGCAGTTCTGTAGTGAGTGTCTTGAGTGCCATAGTGGCCTCCCAGAAGCAAATTGGCTCTCCAGTCCCCTGTACACACATCCCAAAAGACAATTGTTTGCTCCTGCTCCTGCTTCTCTCAACACATCTGTTTCGGGGTACGGCGGCAGGGGAAATAATATATGAAATGGCTGTAAGACAATTTAAACTTCTAATTGCTGCTTTTCATTTATTTATTTTATTTTTAAAAATGTATATCTTGCTTTTCATTGTCAAGGTCTCAAAGCAGCTTATAGTGATAAAAAAAATAATCACAATTTAAAAACAAAAATGAAAGCTCCAAAACAGAGAGACCTCGGAAAGTTAAAATGTCAACAGAAACCATCAGGATTTATTTATTTTTAAAATATTTTTATTGGAAATTTTATTTACAACATAACATAAACCCCCCACCCCCTCATACAGAAATCCACCCTCAATAAACATGAACATAACATACAATGGGCATAACATACAACAATACAAACAACCAAATAAAAGACTTCCTTTATCCTGTATCTGGCCTCCTTATTTACTTCTTATAAACTGTTTCCTCTATGAATAATTATTAAGAGTTTTCTTATTATAACTTAAATATCCTCAAAGTCTCCTGCAGACATTAATCGAAACAAATCCAGGTATGTATTTTAGGGCACTGTTTTGTGAAGTATTCTCTGCATTTCCCCCATGCTTTTTGAAACTCTTGTTTGAAACACCAGAGAAGCATTTGTGATGGCAGAGGCCTCTTGAAATAAAAGCAGGTTTAAAGCAGGTATCTGAAACTCAACAAGACTAGTGCCTGTCTGACTTCTAGTGGGAGGCTGTTCCACAGGCTTGGACCCTCAGCACTAGAAGCATGACTTCTCATTAGCATGAGTTGTGCTTCCGTTCCATGGGGGAGCGCTATCGTGCCCCTCCAGACAATCTCTGCTGTATAGCTCAATTGGTTGGAGCATGGTGCTGATAGTAGCAAGGTTGCAGCTTGATCCCCCTACGGGGCAGCCGCGTATTCCTGCATTGCAGGGGTTGGACTAAATCAGGCATAGGCAAACTCGGCCCTCCAGATGTTTGGGGACTACGACTCCCATCATCCCTAGCTAACAGGACCAGTGGTCAGGGATGATGGGAACTGTAGTCTCAAAACGTCTGGAGGGCCGAGTTTGCCTGTGCCTGGACTAGATGATCCTTCCACCTCTACAATTCAGTGATTCTCTGATCTCAACGACTGGCTTGATGTTTCCCCCCAGCAGCAGCAGCAGCAAAAAACAACACCACACCCTGATAGTGTATATAGAACTCATTTATTTGTATAAAATAGAATTACTTGTGGGAAGCCATTCTTAGGATGGTGAGAGCCACTGCCAGTTTGCAAGAGCGAGCCAGCGTTTTGACTCCCTTGTGGCCTAGCTTGAAAGACGCATGCAGCTGTCCTCCTTTCATCCAGTATCAGAGGCGGTTTGCTTCTGAAAATGAGTTTCTGGGAACTGCAAGCGCGGGGAGTACCATTGTGCTCATGTCCTGCTTTGAGGCTTCCCATTGGCTACTGCGAGGACAGAATGCTGGACTAGGCAGACCTCTGGTCTGAACCAGCAGAGCCGCTCTTATGTTCTCATAATATGCTGCACCTTTTGAGTCTTATCCCACTCGTCAGTATTGCAGCAGAATACTAAAACTTTGAACCGAGAGTACCCAGTCCACCAGTATGATCAGTTATTCATGTGTTGGACAGGAGTGGTGAGAACTGCCTGCTATCTAACAAACAGATTGATTTAAGAGTATATGGAGTTTTCTTCGCCTGTAGTCTTGGGAAGAAGCAACAGCTGAATGGTAGAGTACAGGCTTTGCATGCAGGATGTTTCAGATTCAATCCCCAACAGCGCCAATTAAAATTGCAGCATTGGGTAGCAGGACTGGGGTAAGATCTGTTCTGCACATGACTCAGGAGAACTGCTAGGCAAGATGGACCAGTGTTCTGACCAAGACAGCTTTGTATGTTTCCCTAGCAAATGATGCAATGATACCTACGTAGTGGCCTATCCGTGTTTCCCACATAAAATCGAAGGAAGCCTGCTGAGATTCCTGCATTGCAGGGGATTGAAAGAGATGAGCATTGGGGTCCCTTCTGAATCTGCAATTCTATGATTCTGTGTCCATGTTAGACTTTGCCCATTTTAGCCCTTTTGCAAATATTATGTCCATTGTACATGTCCTAGAGATTGAATTGATGGGTCTGGTGGATGGGATCAACACTTCCCTCTACTCCAGGCATAGGCAAACTCGGCCCTCCAGATGTTTTGGGACTACAACTCCCATGATCCCTAGCTAACAGGACCAGTGGTCAGGGATGATGGGAATTGTAGTCCCAAAACAAAAATTGTAGTCCAGATGTTTTGGGACTACAACTCCCATGATCCCTAGCTAACAGGACCAGTGGTCAGGGATGATGGGAATTGTAGTCCCAAAACATATGGAGGGCTGAGTTTGCCTATGCCTGCTATAGTCATAGCCTTATCCAAAGCAGTCCATAACTGGATTGTTTCGGGCCTATTGTGGTGTTCGGCATCTTTTTTAAAAAATCCACTTCTCAAACAAACAAATGTGGTTTGTTTGCAGCTGGCCTTACAGAAAGATGCGGTGCAATACAGTATAAATTTTAAAACAGAGTGCATCAGCCTCAAATTTTTACAAATTCCGATAGTTGTGGGAAACTATCTGTTAACTTTCCAGCAGCTCCCCTACATCTCTCATCGGTTATGAAATTAAGCCATAAAAGAAGACCAGATAATTGAGCAATTCTCCGCCTACCGGATGCATAGTTCTCTAGTGGATGGAGAATTCTTCTATCCGACATGCGGAGTGGGAAGAAATTTGACTCATTCTGCATTTAAAGGCAATCGTACCTAATTCACGCTTTCTGAAAGGCTATGCAAACCAAAACACAGCCATCCTTTGAAATTCGGACTGCACCAAATTCTGCAGTGCTGTTCTCCAGCCGGGTAACATGTACAAAAATGTGTGTGCTAGGATGAAATGTGCATAAAATGCACACATTGGCAGGGATGGTATACCCAAAATACATTGTTAGGAAAAGTGCTTTGCAGAAATTCACACTAAAATGCTTTCGTGGGAACTTTTGAATTTTTTTTTAAAAAATGCAGATTGATATAGAGATGTGGGGAACAGAATTTAGGACTAGAAAAATGAGAAACCAGAATGGATAGATTTGCTCACATCCACACAATACCACATTTAAAGGGCATGAAGCAGCCAGGGCTCAGGCAGCTGTGCCAAGGTTGGCGTTAATTCCCCAAATTGAGGCTTTCTGGGGGTTTGGCAGGGGCAGGACCAGAGGAGAGGGGGCTTGGGGTGAATCCTAAGCCCATTCAGCTCACCCATGAGACCGGAAGGCTTGTTTAAAGACTTGTTTTGACACTATTTAGGCAGAACAGGAGCAGCAGCCCCACCACTGAACAGGGTCTGGTGTAACTTTACACCAGCTTAACTTAGGCAAGCGTGCATTACGCCAGCTTCTTGTGCATAGGATTGTCCATTTTGTCTGCACAGCTCAGTATTGTCTGACTGGCAGCAGCTCTCTGGGGACTCAAGCAGCAGACATTCCCAGCCCCGAGAGACCCCCGGATATAGGGCGGCATATAAATTCTTTTTTTTTAATTACTTTTTTATTCAAAATTAAAACAAAACATATTGTCCAGAAACATATCATCCTTATTTTCCCCGTTTTTTCCTCCCTCCCCCTCCCTCCCCCCACAGGACCCACCCTGACCCCCCCCCGACTTCCCTCAGTTCCAGTCTTTGATTTCTCTAAGAATGCTGTTTTCTGCATGTTACACAGTTATGTAGATCCTCAAACTATTTAGCTGATTATCATCAATAGAAAAGTTTGTGAATGTTTATTCAAAGCCAGCCAAGGATCCCAGTTCGCTTTGTTGCGTCTTCAAATACTTTGTAAAGGGTTCCCATTCATCTTTAAAGTCACAGTTATCTTTGTCCCGTAGCTTGTATGTCAGTTTTGCCAGTTCTGCATAGTCCATCAATTTTTCTTGCCATGATTCTTTAGTTGGGGTTTCTTCAGACTGCCATCCTTGTGCTATTAAAACTCTTGCGGCCGTTGTCGCATACATGAAGATGTTTTTCAGCTTTTTGGGCAGATCTTTGCCTACAATCCCTAATAAAAATGCTTCAGGTTTTTAAACAAATATTAAATGGAACATTTTCTTCAATTCGTTATATATCATTTCCCAAAAATTCTTAATTACCTTACAATCCCACCACATATGGGCTGTATATAAATTCAACAAATCAATAAAATGCCAAAGGTTTGAACCTGGGACCTTTTGCATAAAAAGCAGAGACTCTACCACTGAGCTATTTTATCCATGGGTTTTCCAGCCTTGAATCCATACATTTTGAAAGATGCAGCAAACGTCCCGTTCCCCCCCCCCCCGCTTGCCCTCCTTCTGATGCCTCCTCCTCATTTGTACATCTCTCTCTTTTTCTCTTCCCTTTAGGTACCATCGTTTTCATGGGGAGAGTGATGCACCCAGAAGCGATGAATACAAGTGCTCACGACTTTGAAGAACTGTAATATCCCCACAAGGCTCACCAAACCCACCCACACACAAAAGAAAATAAGCACACTGAGATTGCAGTCGATGTATTTAAGATTTGCCGTGTGATTTGTTTGTTTCTTTTTTGCATTGTTACATTCGAGGCACGGTTTGAACGGAAGGGAGGGGGGGAAAGGAAAACCAGCTTCCAGATCTTAACTTCCGCTAGAAATTGCAGACTACGGCTGTGGAAGAAAAGCTTTCAGTATTAAAGTAAATGTCGTCCTTGTGATACCTTGTGTTGGTCCTTTAAAATAAAAACCGTAACCATGTCAGCGGCTGCACTTTCTGTCTCGTTGAACTGTAATGCAGTTGTCCCCAAAGTCTGTACTGCAGTAACTTCCTGTGCTGTGGAGAAACTAATTGGATACTAGGAGGAATAATTAAAGAAGGGGGGGGGCTGATAATATTTTTGGGAGCCAAAGGGCCACATTCCCCATTGGCAAGCTCTCTAGGGGCCACATGGCAAGTGTGGGTGTGGCCATGTCATACTCCCTTGCACACACAAATTGTACACAGGCAGATCAGCTGAGCAGGGGAGTTCTTGCTCCCTTTCAGCTCATCAAATGATCTATTTGATGACTAGGGAAGGGTGCAGTTTTCATTCCCGTCAGGGCGCTGCCCCCACCCCAGTCTGTTTTATTGTATTTTTATTTTTATTGCCATCATTGAAATTGGCACGTGCGGAAGTGGGGCAGAAAAATTGTTTTGGGTTGCTGAATTGGGAGTTAGCCCGTCCTGTGGGGAGGATTTCAAGGTCAGTGGTCCCCAGAATGTTTTGGGGCATTCTGCAGAGAAGAGGCGGAGCAAATAAAGGCCTCGCTTCTGTTGTCCATACTTATTTTTTCCTCAGAGTACCACAGGACAACAGCCTCCTTCATGTGTTGAATGGAGCTGCATTGTTGCGGTGCTAACCCCTTGAAGGTCATGTGACTGCATCAGCCCCACAGGATTCTCAAGTGTGTGCAAGGCCCAATTACATAGGATTTCCTTTGCAGGCGGCCACACCTAAAGTTTGGAAGACAGAGCTGGTGATGCCGTGGGGCTCAGGAGTGTAACCAGCCAAGTTGTACTTAGAGTAGACGTGTAGAAATTACTGGACATAAGTTAATCGTGCCTGTTACTTTCATTAGGTCTACTCTGAGTAGGGCTAACATTGGCTACCACCCTAAAGCTATTTTGTGCTGTAGCATCACTCTGAGGTTATTCTAATTTAAAACAATAACAGAGCAACCGCTCTTAAATGGTGGGAACTCCTCCCACCCACCAAGAAAGGCCCTCAGAACAGTGGTGCGTCATGACATAGTGTAGTTCGGGAGCATTCAGAGGAAAAACCAAAATGGCGGCTGGCAGCAGTGGGGAACCAGAAGATGCTGGTGAATTTTCCCCACTCGTGGAGAATGCAAAATACAAATCTGGTCTGACTGACCACCTTGTCTTTTGAGTCACCATTCCAGGCTTGTTTCTTTTCCATGAGGAAGCATGCCAAAGCCATAGATTCATGCAAAGACCTGGAAAGGGTGTTGGAAACACATCTCTGAGGGTAATTCTTACTCAATCTCAAGCTTAATTTTCCAGGATGTAGGATTGATGTGTGCCTGCCATTTTAATTCCATATATATATATATATATATATATATATATATATATATATATATTGTGTTCTTCAGATTTTAGAATTTTGGGAACTGCTGTAATGTAGTAACGGCTCTGCCAGCTTGAAATTGAGTAGCTGCTCTTGTAAATGGCAAAACTTCATAATCGATACGAGAAAGTTAATAATTTATCAGGTTTTAATGTGGTTCCTTCTTGCAAGCAGATTTACAGGAATTCGTGTGATGCCTTCTGCGACGCTGTGGGTTGCTTGTGAATGTAGCAAATGAGCATTGCAATAGCACTTTGCTTCAGTTGTATATAGCTGGTCCCAATCCAGGTACAGATTGTTGTGACTAAAAGTGCAACCTTGCACATGTATACTCAGAAATCAGTTCCTTAGTGTTCAGAGGAACTTACTCCTAAGTTAACTACATACACGGTTGCAGCCTTAGTCTTGCTGGGTTATATTCAATGAAGTCACCTGATTGGTGCAAGAAAGGACCTCATCCTGCACAGTGTGACTTCTTTTTATTTTCCTCTCTGTCTGCTCCCCTAGCCCTTAGGAGCAGCTTTGGGGAGGTGCAAGGAAAGGATGAGAGGAAGACCCATTGTGCAATGGGATGAGTTCATTGGATATAGCCCATTGAAAGCAATGGGGCACGTGTTGAAGGCTAACTTTGTTTGCATTGATTTTCAATGGGGCTTGGTTGCCACTGACGTTGGCAGTGCCCATAGCTTTAATTCTCCTTGTGGTTGAATGATTGCTGGTAACAGCATGTCTGACACAAATGCACGAGCATGCAGAACTTGGCTATTCTTTCCTCCCATTGCTAGCATTCCTGCATGTAACTTGCCGTTTTTATTTCTGAGAACATTAAACTCTTTCAAATGCAGGTGCAGTGATGCTTGTGAAGAGTGACTATGATACAGATTGCAGGAAAAACCTGGCCAAAGTAAAGCAAGGGATGTGAAACCTTTTACAGCCCGAGGGCCTCAATCCCTTCTAGGCAACTTTATAGAGGCTACAAGCCCATGGTGTGTGGGGCCAGTGGAAAAGGTGGGTGGAGCAATAGATGTAAAATTTACCTTTGGATAGTAGTCTTGCCTTGGTCAGACCACACCTGGAATACTGTGTCTAATTCTCGGCACCACTATTTAAGAAGGATGTTGACAAGCTGGAATGTGTGCAACCAAGAGGGTCTCAAAACCAGGCCTTATGAGGAATGGTTGAAGGAGCTGAGTATGTTTAGCCTGGAAAGGAGGAGACTGAGAGACGATAGCCATTTACAAATATCTTAAGGGCTGTCACATGGAAGAGGGAACAGGCTTGTTTTCTCCTGCTCTGGAGGGTAGGACTCAAACTAATGGCTTCAAATTGCAAAGAAAGGAGATTCCAACTAAACATCAGGAAAACCTTTCTAACAGTAAGAGTTGTTTGACAGTGGAACGGGAGGTTGTGGACTCCCTTGGAGGTTGTTAAGCAGAGGTTGGGTGGCCATCTGTCCTGGATGCTTTAGCTGAGATTCCTGCACTTCAGGGGGTTGGACTGGATGACCCTTAGGATCGCTTCCAATTCTATGATTCTACACACACTCACAGTCCTCTGTGTTTTTCATTCATACAAGCAAGGGTTCAAAGACACATTGCAGGCAAATGAAAAGTATGAAGCAGGGCTATTGAGGGGTGTGGTTTGGGGAAAGAGGTGTGGCCAGATAGGTTTGCAGGACCACAGGCTCCCCACCTCTGAAGCACAGTACCTTGGGTGCCTATCCTGTGCACGATGAACTGACTTCAGTGGGACTTACCTGTGAGTTAACATGCATAGGATTGGGGAAGCATAATAGCCACCCCCGGCCACTTTCCATTATTTACCATTCACTAACTAATGCTATAATGCTGTGGTCTAAACCACAGAGCCTAGGGCTTGCGATCAGAAGGTTGGCGGTTCGAATCCCTGCGACGGGGTGAACGCCTGTTGCTCTGTCCCTGCTCCTGCCAACCTAGCAGTTCAAAAGCACGTCAAAGTGCAAGTAGATAAATAGGTACCGCTCTGGTGGGAAGGTAAATGGCGTTTCCGTGCGCTGCTCTGGTTCACCAGAAGCGCCTTACTCATGCTGGCCACATGACCCGGAAGCTGTCTGCGGACAAACGCCAGTTCCTTTAACTAATGCTACTCTTACAGATCTATTGCTTTCTGCCAATCAATGAAGCTGTTGCTTAGGGGGAACACACAAATATAATATATTGGTGCTTAGATCATGCAGACTTAACAACTGAACATGCACACCCAGATACACCCCTCTATCTTTTCCTTCCCATTTAAAAGCAATTGTTATTGTTATTCTTGACAATACCCTTCTATAGGGAACAGAACAGCAATCTAGGTGTTTGCAAGCATAAGGGAGCCCACTGCTATTCACAGAAAGAGAGAGGACAAATTGCAGCAGTCAATACCTAATCCCTGTGAAATGATTACTGCCTCCAACTTTGTAAATTTAAACAAAAAACAACTGCAATTAGTGCCAACAAAAAAAAAGCAGGAGAAGGAAGGAAGAACTGAAGGCAGGATGAGAAGCAAAATTAAACCTAGTTTAAAAAAAAAAAATCCTAAAGGGAACAGACTTTGGGGTAACAAATGAGATGAATTGTTCTCCAGTTGAAACTGGAGACCTATTACTGGGACAAAGCCTGATCTGAGCAGCATGACCACCATACATGGTGATATTGTAGCAATGCATGTTGGGATAAAGGTGGCTCCTGGTGTTAGTCGTGTGATCCTGTCAATATCAGTGCATACCATACCAAATCTGGGCCATTGGACCACAATCAAGGTTCGGTTTTGCTCAGTTAGCAGCCCAGTGGAATAGGGAGTAAAATGTAGGTGATTTTTTAAAAAGACCAAACTCACAGACTACTGACTGTAACTGAAATGAATCACTGGGTTTACTGATACCCAAAGCTTAATAGAATTAAATGATATGAAATAGATTTGCGAATGATCTAGAATTTATAGAGAAGTTACATAGAAAATTGAATTCCTAGGAATTGATGCAAAATAAGATAAAATATGATTAGGCTGAAAGCAATTGAATATGATTTGCATATGAACTAATAAGTAGCATTGGCAAAGCAATCAATCAAAGTAAATAACATCAGTCCTAACTCCCTCCAG